ATGAGTATATTGTATACCTAAAATGTACCAATAAACTTAATGAAACACACGCACGTGTTCGAACGCGCACACACACACACACACACAAAAGGTTAAAAACTAGGGTGACATTTGCATCAGGATATTAATAGGAAACCCATTCTGAAAACCCACATGGTGAGCACTTTCCCTAGGCCAAAATCTTTACATTCATCACCTCATTTTTGAGTTGTGAGCATTACTACAGTGTCGGGAGGGGTTCAGGGTTGCAGTGAACTCAAACATTAAAACATGTATACTGTGGTCATTCAAATAAGACATGCCAAAACACATCTCCTAACTGAAGCTTGTTCAACCCACCTTGCCAGCTATTTCCAGTTCTTTTTTATCTCTTTTGGCATTTCCAGCCAACATTTTCATCTCAACGATTCCTGATACAGCAATAAATGGAACAACTGCTAACAGCAATAGAGTTAGTTGCCAACCGTAGATAAAGGAGATGATGATGCCAGTTCCAAGGTTTGCTGTGTTCTGTGCGATCAGAGCCAGCCTGGTACCTGTGGCCTGTAAGAGAGAGGAACAGCATTGCTGTACATGGGGCCCTGGATGTATCACTGCTGTGACAACAGTGCAGCCTCAGGCCTCCTGGTCAGCAGGATGCCCAGTTTCCTGCCTTGAGCTGCTCCACCTCTCTACAACAACCCTCCAAGCCCACAGGTTTGCATCGTTGAGCCTTTGGCTCTCATTCCTCAGCTGCCCGTGGGGCTCACAGCAGAACCAAGCATGCGTGGCTCTGCTCTGTGTATGCAGTGGCACACACGTGCTCGCAAGGACAGTTTGAGGAGGAAACCTGCCACCGTACTCCACTGATCTTAGAGATCACTTATTTTCCAAAAGTGGAGATGGAAACTGATGCTTCCAAGACCATGTCAGTGTCCTCAACCCAAGGAACCATCGCCACAAGGCACACTTAGGCTGAAGTAGTGTTCAGAAACCAAGAGCACTGCGCAGAAGCGGTGGGCTCCGGCGTGGGGGTCAGGGCACAGCCTCCCCTGCAAGGGACTGGCTCGGGCCTGGGCACGTGGCTCGAGTTTGATGGCTGAGGTACAGTGTGTGCCCCTGCCAGTGGTGGAAAACAAGGAAGCTTGTACCTGTAATCACCCCCAGTGGCCAACCCACAGCTGTGAGGAGTGAAGCCATCCCTGAAGGGCGCTCGACCACATGACAGAGGGTCCTGGTTGCTTGAGCACAATTTTCAGCAGGTGCATAAATCAATCCCGAAGCCTAACCTTTCTCTACTGTGTAAGCCAATGAGACCTGGGCTTTCTACTTTTTCCAGCTGAGCATCTTAACAGATGCAGCTCTTCCATAGATTTGTTTTTTAAAGAAAAATATCAGTAGAGCACAGTCTACATACTCCTTGGACTTGGGCGGCATCCGTGGCAAGTCTTGTGGAAAGTGCACCCGTACTGTTTTTATGATCATCAAACCAGCTCATGTCCTGCAGTACAAAAACACAAGTTAAATTAGCTCCAAATGAAAACAAGCTGTGAAGTAGCCAGCTTCTCTTCCCCTTTCCTGGGCTGCCTATGGAACAGCCAGATTTATTTATTTTTTTCCTGTAATAAATTTTCCAATGAAAATTTTTGTCTACAAATGCTATTGCCTTTTAATTTCCATAACTGCTAAAACAAAAACCCATGTCAACCAGTGAGGTGAGTGGCCACCTCCTTGTACAAAGGCACCCAGAGTCTCTGAGGACTGACCAGGGCCTGAGTCCTGAAATTGACACCGCATCTCCTGGATGTGGACAGCTGCAAGATGAGAAAAGGCTGCCGAAATGAAGCTCACTTCCACGAAAACACACAGGAGCCTGGGCAGGGAGGGCCCAGACATCCTGCAGGATGCTGCTCAGTACAGGCACAGGCCCCTGGAGGAAATGCGCACATCAGAGATCACAGGACAGAAAGTGGCTTTGAGTGAAAGAAACCCAACCGCCCAGGCCACGCCCACCTGTCTCAGCATTGCCTTGAAAGCCATAGACCGCAGCCTCATGGTGAGGATCTCTCCAGCTTTCCCAAATGTGAAGCCCTGGGTGAGAAAAAAAGGCTCTTGTTGACAGTTCCAACAGCACACACATGCACACTAATTTTACACTAATTTTACTAATTTTACGCACACTAGCCAGCTATTCAGATAACAAAAGCCTAGGCCCACAGCCCACCTCAAAGTCCTACTTCACACGGATGCGCTCCTACATTATCGGTACAGTACGTGTTGGAATAAGACGGAAAACTGAAACTCCTCAGTTTGGGCTTCTAAATCATTCTTAGTAGGTTCATTCTTTTAAACTGTGAAGGGTAGTGTCTCAGTGACAAAGACACCATATTAACTACAGCTGTGAGTTGAAAGAAGTCACACAGCCCTGCAGGAGAGGGAGGACGCCTTTGGTTAAGTCCACGCTGCATTTGCTGTCACCGCCCCACCCGTTCTCATTCTGGGGAACAAGGGGCTGCTCTCCCTCCAGGCCTCCCTGCCTGCCATTCCCCTTCCTCGCGGCCTGTCGGGAGAGGCAGACACGCTGCTGGGTGTCAGCCGCTGGTCCCGCCCCACAAATACCACTCCCTGACCTGACGAACCTGGGGCTGGCTTGACCGCCCTCACAGCGTCCAGCAGAGCCACGACCTCCAGGTGGAAAGCCGTTTACCGTTCACTGGCTCAGCAGAGATAAAAGTAGTGCAGTGGGGCCCGACCAGGAAACTGTATTTTGCCGACTTAATGAGAGGATTGCATGATACCCATGGGTTAAACAAAGCGAACGAAATCTGATAAAAGTCTAATTAGGTAGGAAAGAACAACTGCAGCAAGTTTAACTAGCTCAGTTTGGCCAAGTCTGCAAATCTGAATGCAAAATATGTGTTCTTTCCCCCAGTTCATCAGTTTAGCGAGTCCCTAGCACCCCAGAGTCGCAGCAAACCAGAGAGGGGCCTCTGCACTTCCCAGCACACAGCCGCTGAGTTTCAGTGGGCAGCTGTCTTCAGGCGCTGTCCCCCCTTCTCCTCAGTGACACTCCTGCTGCAGGTGGCCTTGCACCCCGGGAGAGCAGGACCCCAGTAATCCTGCGGCAGTCCGCCCTCTGTCTCTGCAGCTCAGGCTTCAGAAGTTCCCTTCTGTTCTACTTTTCCCTAACTGATCGGCAGACTGCTGAGAAGGGCCGGTCACGGGCGCTTACCTGAAGGAAAAAAGTGAAGAAAGAAATAATCCCCAGAGCCAGGAAGAGCAGAGAGAACATGTTGCATTTGTGCTGCTTCACCACTTCATCCCCTGACCCGAAAATCTGTGGAAGAACATTCACAAAGCCCAGCTGGGTGACTCTGTCGTCCTTCCTCCCTTAAACAATGGCTCTAGGGTCACATCTTTAAAGCTAGCCTGACAGCTGTCACTTGAGTACTCTCAGGAGCCAGACACTCTCACACATTTTCCACATAGTTATCTCTCTTACCTCTGAATCCCCAGCTTCCTAGCAGCCGGGGTCACCTTGCAGATGAGGAAACTGAGGCACAGAGAGGGAAAGCACCCTGCCTGTTCACCCACACACTCGGTGGCGAGGCCAGGCTGTGCTCATTGCACGCTCTGCCTCAATCACTCCAGCTGCTCCTCAGGGACATTGGCGGCTCTCCATAGATGAGGGCATGGCCTCACCCCGTCAGACCAAGGGAAGAGAGCCACTTAGAATGCCCCCTCCCTGATTCCACACGGTGTACCTTCACTGACACCAGAACTGGGAAGAGCTGAAAGGCTGCTTTCCCTTTCCCTTATACCTTACATCAAAAGGGAACTAAGGACTTTGTTGGAGTTTAATTTGAGCTGCTTAACCCCAGGAAGGAGCAAGCTGGACAGGGTCCGATAAGAAACCACTGAGGGACTGATTTAATTCAAACTGTTACATAGTGTTTTCAAACTCACTGCGATCATCTCGGAAAATATGATGGAAAATGTCGGCTGCAGGGCCCCATTGGCAAGGGCGCAGATGGTCCCCACCATAAGGTAGGGCCATTCAGTTTTACTGAGTTTCAGGACCTTCAGAAAAGACACTGGTGGCACATTTGCATCCTAAAAAACACATACAAATCAGGACAACTGGTGCTAGCACAAGTTACTGGAGTTTGCAGACACAGAAGAGGCTTGACCATTGACCTCTAGAAGAAGCAGCAGACCCCTGGAGAGCAGGACGGCATGTCACACAGCTTGGCAACACCCCTGAGGACTGAGCCACAGCCTGCTCAGGCTGTCCACCCGGAGGCAGTCTTCAGTATCCATTCTAGCCTCAGCAGACTGAGAGGTGGCCAGGTCTGGGCACAAGCCACCCTGAGTCCAGCCCCAACCCTGGAGGATCACAGCTCAGACTCGTGTGATAGTTACGGGGGCACTTGTAAGCTGGGCTGTCCTTTCCTTGTCATAGTGGAAAGGCACAGCCCTGACTCTCTCAGGGTTGACAGCAGAGTCCAAGGAGACAATGCACATAACAGGTGCATGGTGTTCTCAACACCCAAAGAACATCATCTCGGTCTCCTTGCCCCAGAATCCTGCCAGTGCCACCTTTGCTGTGACATGTTGCCAACTTAAAAAACCACACTGATGACTGCCTTTTTCTTTTATCACTCTTCCCTGAGCAGACTTCTCTTGTGATTTGTTGTATTGTCTGCATAGTTCCTTGTCAAGTACGTGCATTTCTTTTTAAAAGAAGAAGACAGTGTCTTTAGAATCTTCAAAATGAATCCAATTCCTAGCATATATCAGACCCTCCACAAATGCCGAACTATGTGTCTGGTCAAGCATGAAGTCTGTGGGTCTCACGAAGAAGCATATTCTGACTACAGAGACAGTTTTGCATCACACTGGAGACAAAGGTGGATATGGAACACATAAGCATGAGGAAGGGTAGGTCATATTCATGTCTATGAAACAGAGAATGCAGAAGGAGGTTCCACTCAGCCCTCTTCTTTCTGATTAACCATTTGCTTTATACTGGAGTTTTCCCTCCTTAGCTCAAGCATTACCACAAGTCCTATCTCCAGGATGATAAATGGGCTTCTTCCTCAGAGCCCTGGTCTGCAGCATATCCACGGGTATTCCCAGTCCTCCACTTAGCCTTCCATATCCCTGAAGCTACTAGTTATGGCCGTCGGTGTGAGTTATGACCGACAACTCCTAAGTACGTAAAAGTACTGGGCGGGACTGCTGGAAAACCTCTATGCTCTACCTGCTGCTTGGAACACAGAGCCGGCAGCGGGAGCTGCAGATGCAGTCTTGGGCGCAATGTGACCTTGCAGATGGGAGACAGATGTGTGCCAGACAGTGACAGCAACTAGGAAAGGAGCTTGCATCCCTGCTAACTCAGCAGCCGCTACTCTAGACCTGAATTTCTCACCCCTCATAATTTTTTTGTGACAGAGAAATAAAAACTCTCAGTTTGCTTAAGCCAGTTTTATTCTGGGTTTCCTAGTACAGGCAAGCCAATGTCATCGACATTGTTGTGGGGACATTTCATTCCAGACCACCCTGTAGACCTCAGAGATGAATGGACCATTTAATATTAATATTAAGTACCTTAAGCATAAAGAGTATATTTTGGATCTATTTGGAACACTGGAAAGCCATTCTAGTTGGGATTTATTTTAATTTATTGTCAAGTACATTTAAAATGTGAAATTTTTGTGTGTGTGTGTGTGTTGGTGATGGAACACAAGGCCTTACATGGACTACTAAAGCACTTTGTCACCGAGCTAAACCTCCAGCCCAAAATTTCCTTTTTGTTTTTTTTTTTAAGAATATGGCTCATAGTAGAAATTATCTGTGCCTGAAGATTATATGCAAGGCCAAGAATTTCAATTGCAAAACTATAAAATAAGAGGCATAATTTAAATGGAAAAAGAACTTACAAGTTCATTGGTTTCTCCATCAAGGCCATTATGACACATTTGTGAATTTTTACGGCTTTTACTAGTAGAATTCCTAAATATGCGAGATTTCCAGCCATTTGAGGTCATACCAGGAGCAGCCTTTTCTTCATTCAGTTCCAGTTCAAATTCTGACTGAATCTGGTTTCCTGATGTCTGAAAGAAAAACAAAATGTTAAATTATGTGTATGTGTGTCAAGATGGATGTGTCCTTCAAATTTAAAATAATAAAGCAATTTTTAATATTACATGTGTCAATATTTTTAGATTTCATAACAGCTTTCTGCCAAGATTAGCTGGAAAACTAAAAAGTCCACTGTCCCACAGAAGTAAAAGATGTTGAAATGACAGGAAAGTTCTTTCCAATTTGAACAATATGAGAACTAAAGTATGTGAGAGCTTTCTGAAATGTAAAGACACAATTTTCATCACCCAGCAGGAATTTTCTGTGTTTGAGAATCCAGAGAACAAGTCAGGAGCACCAGGGAAGGAGGAGGAGGGGGTGGAGGAGGAGGAGGAGGAGAAAGAAGAAGAAGAAAGAAGAAACAGAAACATTATTGAAGTTTGAACAAAGCACACCCACAGCAGATGGTGAAGGCTGCTCTCCTCACCCTCTGTGCACTCTTCCCCGGACTCACACCTCACCCCAGGTGACCGCACCTGCACGGTCAGTCCTGTAGCAGAAGCTTCTGACTCCTCCCCTTCTGCTGGTTCTGTTGCAAACTCAACTGATGGCTGCTGCCATATGCACCTGTAGTAGCTCTGAATGTTCACCTCCACATGCTGTCTCGTCAGCTTTCCAGCTGAATGTTCAGCCCCCAGCAGAATGCTGCCCATGTGCTTTTGTATCTCCTTGAATCACTTGCAATATGCGTTGCTTGGCGGACTTACTTATTATTGAAATGATTTATGCTATCTCCCAACCTAGGCTAAAGGCTTAGACAACTAACTGATTCTTTCCATTTTTACTTTCGTCTATTCTCACACTGATACCAGATATATTTTACTAAAGGACAGCTCAAAAACACTTCACACTTTCCTGCCACTTGCGCAACATGGAAGTTACAAAAATTTATCTCATGGTGAGTCCAACTGGACCACCTCTCTTGAAAGCCTCCCCTTATCTTTCCCTCCTTCTGTAATCTCCTCCATGCTGACAAGGGTCCACCTCAATTGGCAGGCAGTTCTTTAGTAAGACCATTGAGATCTTAGCTTCCTTCCATGACCAGGGAACATCCTAACCCTCAGTACTTTTTGCACCTTATCTAAGGCATTCCCTCAGTTGCTGTTGGGCACTTTAGCAGAGAGGTCACTGAGCTCCAAATTGAGGGTGGTCACTTTTCACCAGGTGATAAAAAGCATACATTTACAACCAATAGCCCTCAATTCTTACCCTCGAATATGCTTTAACTGGCTTAAAGTTTTAATTGTAAAATTAAAACAATCAATGCTGAAAGGAAATATGGGTGAATATCCTTTATAATAACAACCCCAAATTTAAAAAATGATAATCTAATTTTATAAAATTCTAAAGCTTTTTTATGGCAGCCAATCAATCAACAGAGTGAAACTGGATGGAACAAAACAAAACAAAAAATGTTTTCAATATGTGCAATGGAGGAGTGTGTTTTCCTTTTATACAAAGAGTTTCTATAAATCAATAAAAAACGTTATGAGGAACACAATAGAAAAGTGGCCTAATACAGGAAAAAATACATACAGAAATGAAAACATAGCAAATGCCACTGAACATGTGAGAAGATGCCCAATCTCTTGAATAATGAAAGGAATTTTAAGATACTCTTAACTCTTGCAGGCTCACAAGATGAAGACTAAATATTACAGTAGCCAGTGATCTTTTGTAGAATTTAAATTGTGATGACTTTAAAATGTCTAAGTATATATCTTTGAGTTAATTTGTTTATTTTGGTACCAGAGATCAAACTCAGGACCTTGTGCTTGTGAGGCAAGTGGTGGCATCACTGAGCTAAATCCCTGGTCCTGTATTTGAGTTTTTTTTTAAATGAGCAGACTTTTAAACCTAAGAATACATTACTTTACATCAGCAAAAAATTAAGATATGCTAAAATAAAGAACCAAGAACCAACAAAACAGTCTACCCAATGAAGCAGCACTGGTAGTTCTTAGAAACAAAGCCAAGCAAAGTTGAATTAGAATTATGTTGGCCTTTGGGTCTGGAGGGGTGGGAAGCAGCATCAATGTGAGCATCTACTGAGCTCTCAGCTTATCACAGTTTTCTCCTCCACTTCTCCAACAGCAAGGTAGATGCACCAGTGTAGTGGCGCATATCTGTGATCCCACTCTCAGGAGGCTGAGGCAGGAGGATCGTGTCAAGTTCAAGGCCAGTCTGGACTACATAGTGAGACCTTATCTCAAACACTCCCCACCTAAAAAAGGGAAAATAAGTGGCAAAACCCAAGCCAGAAGTGGGAAGGGTGGAGACATCCAGGCGGAGACCACCTAAGAATCACTGGATCCCAGAGCTGGTAGAAGAGTCTGAGGTTGTCTTAATGCAAGTCCCACTCTTACAACAGAGATATCAAAACCCAATTTGCTTACATAACTTGCCCAAAGCTATCACCTTTCTATCAGACTGGTTCACCACTCAGTCTAAAAATGTGTAGCATTTCCTAGGAAGGAAAGCTCAGGGAATATGATACAGAAAGGTCAGAACTGTCTATCAGCTCCTGCTTCAGTGCTCAGTTCCGGTGGGATTGGAAGGTCATTCTTCCAGGTCGCACCACAGGAGGATGGGACAGTGAGGCAGAAAGTGTTACTTTGCTTAAGGATTATGTGTCATCGTGGTGAAATCGCAGAGCGTTGGTGACTTCAGTGACATGACAACTAAGACGGACTTCAGGTAACTATGTATCAGTGGAGTGATGAAGAGCTGCATAGTGTGGTTGTGTGGAAGCCACTGGCAAAACACTGTGGCTCCTGCCCTGCTGGAGAACAGCCTCTGTCAAGTGCAAGCCTATCATTTCCGTGATACATTCATGTTGGGGAATTTACAAGTTTCAGTAACTACCATTAATCATGCATTTATTTGCATTAGGTTCTTTTTAAAAAGAAAACATAACTGCTTTACTGAGGTATAATTCATATATCATAAATTCACCCTTTTAAACATTTAGGTGGTTTCTTTGGTATATTCAGTTGCTTATTTCATTTCCTTTTAAAAATACAGATATTCTTCATTTAATGACTGCACTGAGACCAAGGTCTGCTGTTCAGAGTTAGACTCACAACCCATCTTCTTCATGTGTGTAGTTCTATCCATTGTGTTTATGGGGCTCAATATATTTTTTGTACAATATACCTTGTTTATACAGTAGTTTAAGTTTTGCTGATTGTACTGGACAGTACAGTACTATAGTTTTATGTTCTGTTATATATTATAGTACTGCATGTAAAAGTTATACAAATAAAAGCAAAGTCATTAAACTGGAGTTGCCTTTGACCATTCCTCTGTTTTGAATATTGTAATGTGCATAATATACACAATGCCTCATTTAGTGACTGATTCATTTGACAGCTTATTTGCAGGAATGGAACTCTGTTGTTAAATGAATGTCTACACATTATTATATATGTTATATGAGTAGTATAATTATGCATTTTAGTTGACACATTATTGTATATCTTAGTAGGACACAGTGTGATATTTCAGTACACCAATGTTTTCCTATTAGATAAGGGTAATTGATGTATCTGTCACTTCATTTATCATTCATGTTGGAAACATTCAAAGTCCTCTCTACTAGCTATTTGGGAACATACAATTAATTGTTGTCAACTACTTACCCTGACGTGCTATAGAGCAGGAGAAGTTATTCTTCCTGTCTTGCCATGAGAACACTCAGCCTTTATCCAGCCTCTTTGTATCCGTCTCCCGTTTCCCAGCCTCTAGAAACATTATTCCACCCTCTACTCCTAGAAGATCAACTTTTTAGCTTTACATATGAAAAGTAACAATACTTGTCTTTCTGTGGAAGATGCTTATTTCTTAAACTTGTAACAACTTCTCATGGTTGGTTTAGTATTCTAAATGTGGAAACTGAAGAAATCAAGGCAAATTTTTGACATTTTTCTGGCTCACTTGTGCTCACACAGTAATATTTAGAATAGAGAAATGCTGGAGGCACAGCAAATATATAACTTTAGTGAAATAGCTAATTTCACATTATTTATAGTTATTCCTAAGTAATTAAAATAGCGTTTGAAATATTCTGAAATATTCAAGAAAAAACAAACATGTATGTGTATACTAATTACAGATATAGGAAAGCAAGTGTATATACTCTTAAAAGTCTGAGTCACATTTGTAGAATAAAAATTTTAAAGTTATTTATTCTGCAAAATTGCTGAAGTGAGACAAAGCACAATATATTATCTCGCTTAATATGATACATTAATAATTGTCAATCTAACCAAAGACAACCAAACTTCTCTAGAGCCACAGATTTTGCTGTTGGTCTTACTGGGTTCAGTAAAGCAGTTTTAGATCTCGTGGGACCTCCTGGAACTATTAGACCTTGCCATTGCTTTCTTCCTCCTCCTACCACCAGGTCACCCCTGCTGGTAGGGTGGACACGTTCTCCAGGCAGCTAAGACCCACTCTCCCAAGGGTGCATTCACAGCGTTCTTGGCACCGTCCTGCACGCCCAGGGCCTTCTCTCGCAGCCTCTCCCACAGCTTCTGAACTATGCCCTCACATAGACATTCGTCACTTCTGGGCCTTTCCTAACTCTTCCTGGTCTGCACGAGTGTGGATCCTATCTGAACTGTTTAAAGAACACAATATTGAGAGGTGAACCACAGGGAAAGGACCAGGAAGGAGATACCTGCATGTTGACCAGTTTGAAGTAGACCCCTTCTTTCCTCATCAGCTCGCTGTGGCTTCCCTGCTCCACAATGACTCCATCCTCAAAGGCAGCAATGACATCGGCGTTACGGACGGCAGACAGTCTGTGTGCTATCACAATGGTGGTCCGGCCTTTTCGGGCCTAACGGGGAGAGAGACATGCTGTGCCGCATCAGGGCTGTGGGACCAGCACACTGCCAGCCAGCACACACATCTGACCTCTCACGTGCATACTACTTGTTTTGGCAAGAGAGTTTACAGGGGCATCTCTGTGTGATTAGGACACCAACGTCACTCTTCCATTCAAGGTTCAAATCAAACCGGAGTTGGTGACCAGTCAGGTGGTTAACCTTTCAGGACAAGGAGTGCTCTGGGGGCCACAGTGGTGTGTAACTCAAGAACAACAAGGGCCTGACCTTCCACAGTTGTCTTTCACATCAGGCTGAGGAGCCCTGGCCCTGACTTTTGTGGTCTACTAGGGACTCTGGCAGAAGCACCATAGGGAAGAATGCTTTCGTAAGTCACTGCCAAGTGACAGCCTTCTCCAGAGCATGATTTTAACCGCAGCTTGGACGGGCCTCTAGGCTGCAGTTCAGGTGAAAATGTACTTTGGGATTAGGATAGCTCAAATCGCGGTCAAAAACCATCTGAACTCTAGCCTCTGGAGCAGAGCCAGTAGCTTGCACCCTAACAGGTGATCCAGATGGATTTTATTATGCTAAAATCTACAAATCACTGTTGTAAGCTGTTCAGGGATCTCACATATTGGCCTGGTGGATCGAGCCCTGGATAATGCCCATCAAATTATTAAAATTATGTTATTAACAATGGTCACTCTGATGTTCATAAGCCCCACCAGACCAACGCTTTTTATATGGCAACTATGGTGTTGCCTATTAGCAGGGAAAAGGTAAATTATACAATAAATGACATTTGATAAATAAGTGGTGGCCAAATGGAAGAAATACTGCAGCATTTCTATTTTAGTCCTTATACTACAATAAAATCCAGATGAACTGGCTGTGTTTAAGTAAATATAAAAGAGAAACACCATTTTAAAAGGAGAGGCTAGAACATAGCTCACTTGGACAACATTTGAACTATTCTCTGATTTTCAGCATGTCAGCCCTGAGGAGCACTCCCAAATATTTACTCATATGAGAGTTACACGACTGAGTCCTCATATAATGCATATGAGAAATAATTTGATTCATCATATACACGACTCTAATCATGATAACTAAAGTGCTATCAGTGACTGTGTTACCATTATGACAACATCAGGTTGACATGGCATCAGCAGATCAATACAGAGGAACCGCAGTCAGACTTGGGAGTGAAGGCTGTGTGGGAAGAGGGGCAAGCACCTGCCACCCTTGTCCAAGAAAAGCTGACCAGAATAAACTTTGACACAAATAGATTTTTTCCAGAGCTCCCAGACACCCCAGTGATGCAACTAGATTTTTCTCTGTATGTCTGTATGTGTTTTGTAGGAATTATTTACTTCCTCCTGATTTAGTGAAATTAATGTAACCACAAAGAAATAGTTTTAACTCCTAAATAGATTATGGTACACCAAAGAAAGGAGCAGTGTTCCCTCATTAAAATACTTGGACAGTTTTAACTATTTTTCTATTAATTTCTTTGTATATTTTAGTACAACTACTACTTTTGATCAAAGCCTTTCTGTGTGCAAGAAAAGACAAAAGTATAATAGATAACGTGAAATAGGAAGAAAAGGTCCAAAAGGGAGGGAAAGTGGGAGGGGTAGGGGAAGGGAAAGGGGGAAAAGGAATAAACATGAGAAAAGGAAAATAAGAAGAGAAGAGACCAAGCTGAGTGCTTTACTGCCGGGCCCGGGTCTGGGCTCTGCCTGGTGGTCACTGCAAGCTCGGGCGCTGACCACCTGCACAGACCCTGCAACCTGATGGAAAGGAGAGGCTGGAAGGCCCACAAGACACCCTCATCTGCACATAGGGTTTTGTGTGTGTTGTGCTTCATCTGCCCTTGAGTCTATGAGCATCCATAGGAATCTGCAATGAAGTTTGGGTTGCTGTCCCCCAGCACTCAGGGTCCCCTGACCTTGTCCAGCGCAGTCTGCACCTCGGCCTCGCTCTCGCTGTCCAGGGCTGATGTGGCCTCGTCCAGCAGCAGGATCTTGGGGTTGCGAACCAGGGCACGTGCAATTGCAATTCTCTGTTTCTGTCCACCGCTCAGCTGCGCCCCTCTCTCTCCAACCAGGGTGTCAAATTTCTACAACAGAAAACAGAAGCATGGAAGAGTTCTGGAAGTATTTTACATACAAAAGGGAGGGAGACTAGAAATACACAAAGACAAGTCGGAGCTTAGTTTCAACCATCCTACTGCATCATAAATCAAAATGAACAGTGACTTATAAGAAAGCTGCTAACAGACACTGTTTACAATTTTATGCTATCTATGTACCAGAATGCACTCCTTAAGCCTCTATGGAAGAATTCAAGGGATCATCTAGCAAAGTTGGACAACCTTACATCTCAAGCATTAGCTTAACCTTTGAAGTCAGTGCCACGAGGTGGAATTCTAATTTCAGGGAAGACTGAGCTGTCAGAACCTTTACCTGTGGCAATCTCATGATAAACTCATAGGCATTGGCTTCTTTGACAGCTCTCTCGATCTCATCCATGGTGACATTTCCGTGGCCATAGCGAATGTTTTCAGCAATAGTGGTAGAAAATAGCACAGGCTCTTGACTCACCACTCCAATTATTTCCCTCAGATAGCTCACATTAAGGCTCCTGATGTCCTGCCCATCAATACTAATCTGAAAGAGAAATATTTTCTGGTAAATATTTAAACCATCGGACAGGTAAAGCAGCAGTACTCTTTATTGTGAAAACTCTTAGCTAGTGCTGAACTTATTTCAGCAGCTAGAAATGGCAGTTGGAAATGCAGTGAGTGATATGAAGAATAAAAGTTAAAGGTTAATACTGTGTTCTGATATTTATTTTCTTCACATAGTGTTTTTAATGGGCTGTTCTCCATAAGCTATTTTGGGTTATGTACTTGTTGATCTGGCTTTTGTGCTGCTGGGAAGAAACCCAGGGTTTGTGACACCCACGCAAGTGCTCTACCGCATCTCATTATGTTTTTGCTATGCCGTTATTTTTACTTATAGATTCTAAATTTAAATAAAAATTTCCAGTTGCCCACCTAGTCTACCTATCATTTTGATCTCATTTTATGATATGTTCAACATGCCTTAATCTACTTCAGTGTTTCCCACTTTTTGAATTTGGTTCCTTTTAAAATCATCGTAAAAGCAGAGACTCAGCATGTCGAGTAGGATCTATTTTTCTTTTTGGGTAACAGTTCTGGACTGTACAATGACTGGCATTTGCTGGGCATTTAATGCCCATTCAATAAAGGCTGAACAAACAACGCTCTAAAAATATTTTAATAATTTATAGCATCACCAGGAATATATAAATATATTTGCCTCATTGTAATTACTAACATTGGGTTTTATAATCTTAATTTGTTTTTTCTAATTAATATGAATAAGATGATAGCTTATCTCTGTTCATCTATATCTATAGCTATATATATGTGTGTATATATGTGTGTGTATGTGTGTATATATTTTTTTTCTTTTTTTTTTTTTTGTACTGGGGATTGAATTCAGAACCTTGTGTTTGCAAGGAAGGCGTGGTGCTACTGAGCTAAATCTGCAGCCCTATCTATATATATATATATATTTTAACTGAAGCTGACCATTTCTTGAAACATTTTACAAATTTGTATTTAGTTTCAAAATATTTGCAAAATTGCATTCTATAATGAGCAGGGTTGCCTTAATAGGTTCATATTACATATTACTTTCAAATATTAAATGTAATTTACATATCATAAATAGTTTGCTCCACTTTATTACTTGCTTTTATCTCAGTTTCTTACTTTACTGGAGAGGGGTTTTAGGACAGTTTGAAGTAATCAACAGTACCTTGGGGTATTTTTTTAAGTTATTTCAGTGGTTAGAAAAGTGGGAACCATAAAGTGAAGAGTGACTATTTCTGAGTTACAAAACTGCTGAAGATTTTCTTGTTCTGCTGATGTGTATTTTCTAAAAATAATATGTGCATATTATTCTAGTTAATTTAAAATAGGTCACTTTCAGATCACTATCCTTAGTGGCTGGCATATTACTAGGTTCTTTTTCAAAATAAAGAAAAACATTTACTAGAGTTTACTTTAGTAAGGAGAACGGCCTCTCTCCCCAAATCATAATGTCAGACTTTTCAAAGAATACTTAACTTGATTAAATTAATTAAATAATTAATCATGTATCCTAGAACATTCTGTATTCATTCTCACAATCTCCGTTCTAAGCTAATGCCTTGCTGATGGCTTTTAAATTTTCTCTTCACTTCATAATCTGCTTCACCACTGTTGAGTTACATTTTAATATTATAGGAACTCACTGCCCTTAAGTTGGGAACATTGAGGAAATTGTGAGTACAGCATCGTGCGATGTACTGACTTTAATAGCTATTTTGTGGTTATATAAGGGATATCTTTCTTCTGAGCCAATGAGTGTGAATAACGCACACTCAGAAAGAGGGTATAATAAAGCAAGTGGGTCAAAATAGAAACAAAGAGTGAATCTGGGGGAACAGCATAGGTGCGTTCCCCTTCTTTCACCTTTCTGTAAGTTTGCATTTCTAAGAAAATATTCAAAAGACAAAACATGGAGCCCAAGCTGTGACTGTTCCCCTTTAGCCACCCCAAAATTTAGGAGACCCGTGTTGGTGCCGGATTTGTTGCTGCTCTGGGACATCCGAGTCCGGCGAGCAGCTTTCCACACTCGCTGCGTGGACCGTGTCCGGCCCAACCCAGGACCCCGCAGTGGGAGGGCTGTCCTCCCCACGCGGGCCCAGCCCACTGCGCTGCTCACCCGATAGGCTGCAGCTCGCAGGCTCCTTTACCAGCTATGTTGCTGCTTCAAGGCCACTTTGCGAGCGCGTCCCACTCACCGTGCCCTGGGTGGGGTCGTAGAACCTCTGCACCAGCTGCACTGCCGTGCTCTTCCCACAGCCGCTGCGGCCGACCAGGGCCAAGGTCTGGCCACTCTGCACGCGCAGGCTGAGGCCCTTCAGGATCTGCGAGGATAGGGATCACATCTCACAACTAAGCCCTGATAATTCAACTTGAAACAAAATGTATCCAATAAGGGGACTGAACTTCCAAACGAGAAAGCACCTTCAATATTAAAAGAAGCGGCTCTTCACCCATTCCTTCCTTCATTTGCAGTGCTGAGGATTGAACCCAGGGCCTTCACACTAAGCTACAACACTTTATTGGTTTAAATTTATGTTTTTGTTTTTGTTTTTTTCTTTAAGTTTATTGATACACTTTAGGTATACAATACAGTTACATCCATCATTGGGATCTTATACCTTTACATGATGTATCTTGGTTCTTAGAGACTTTGTTTCCATTTTTTGTCTTTTCTCATATTTTTTTCTTTTCCCTTCTTTCTTTGCCCCTACTTTTCCCACTTCCCCTACTCCTTTAGACCTTTTGTTCCTATTTCATATGATCAGTTATACAATTTGAACCTTATTTACACTATTAGTTAAATTTATGTTTTTGAAACAGGGTATCCCTAAGCCAATATACTGCCCAAGCTGGGTTTGAATTTGCCATCTTCCTGCCTCAGCCTCACAGGGTGTTGGGATTACAGGCCGGTGCACCTCCACATCTCAGAATTTATTATTTAAGATGATTAAGCAATCAAGCTGCGTTAGGAATGCCCACAAACATTTCTTACAGTACCTTGACATTGGCTCGAGATGGATAAGAAAAATGAACATTACTGAATTCCAGATTTCCTTTGATGCTGTCTAGTTTGTGTCCTTTCTTTGAAAAACTGTCAATTTTAGGATTCTAAATAAAACAAAATGCAATGACTATTTTGTCACAGAATAAATAATTACATTTTAAAGAAATATGATTCAGCAAATTCTAACAATAGAACGTGGAATAGTACAATGCCCCTCACCAGAGAAAGACTCACAGTGCAGTCTGTGTGTGTATGTGTGTACATATACATGTGTGTGTGTTGTACAAGAAAATGTTCCTTTCAGTAAATAGCCTTTTCATGAAGAATATATTGAAAATATTCATTTCATTTCATTCAATATTTCACTGTAAGTGTTTGGCAAATCTTCATAAATTTTCTAAACAGTTATGCATATTTATACCACTGCAATAACAAAAACATACTATACTTGATAAGGCCAGGTATTTCAGCATTTAGTGAAAATTAGTTTAATCCTAAATAGTAAATGTAATGGATTTGGTTGATAAAATTGACTGAATGATTATCACATTATTATTATTTTTTGTTTTGTTTTGTTTTTTTGAGACATTCTCACTATGTAGTTGAGGCTGACCTGGAACTCACTTTGTAGCCCAGGCTGGTCTTGAACTCATAGTGATCCTCCTGCCCCAGCCTCCCGAGTGCTAGGATTACAGGCGTGCGCCGCCATGACTGGCTTCATCACATTATTATTATTATTATTATTATTATTATTATTATTATTATTATTATTTTGGTACCTGGGATTGAACTCGGGACATTGCTCTTGTGAGGCAGGCGGCAGAATCACTGAGCTAAATCCCTGAACCCTATTATATTATTTAGGGGCCAGGACTTTCAATATATTCAGAAGCTGAGCAATTTTCTTATGAGTTGGAATGAAATAGGAGATATTACTGAAATTTAAGTATCAAATTTTCACTATCTATTTTGCATCTTGTTTGTGTAAATGCAGTGACATCAATATGGCAAAATATTTTCTTTTTCATTGTAGTCAGTTCAACTTATTCAATATAGTTCACTCAAAATCATAAAATGCAGGGATAATATTTGGGTTGCAACCCATAGCAAGACATGTCAATTTATCCTATCAATAATTTATCTACCCCCAATCCTACATAGAAACCATAATATTTACAATCTGGCTAAAATATGATGAGAAAAAGAAAATGTAAGGAAAGAAACGTCCTTGCTTTCAACTATAATAATAATAATACACTATAGCAGGTGTATTTGTCCACAGCAAGATTACTGTGACTATATTACCTAAAGAAAAACTTTTGAAGCAGTAAGAGGCTATAAGGAGATCATTAATTTCATGTTACTAAATTCCACTGTAGTTGTTATGGCTTTTGTCTAGATGTGCCCTCTAACCCTCATGCCATCTGAGGAGGCTGGATCTAGAGTGTGTGATGCTGGGATCAAGGGCGTGTAATTACTAAATTAGTCCTGATTGGTTTGGGATAGCTCTGGGGAGGATTAAGGGTGCCCTGCCCTGGGTGCGAGAGCAACCCACCTTCAGAGCATGTAGCCTGGATAAAATATAAGTGACAGAAAGAGGGTCATCACTTGCTGTTTGCTAGTTCACTGCTTTGCTGCCTTCCTCCTGCCATGGACTGTGATGCCCTTCTGCTACGCCACCCTGCCATGGAGCTAGTCAATTATGAACTGAAACCTCTACAAACTGTAAGCTAAATAAACCATTCCTCCTTTAACTTTGAGTGTCAGGTATTTTGTCTCAGCAATGAGAAAAGTAAATAAGACAGTAATCAATGTAACTTATTTAATATAGTTGGTCAAAAAAGTGTCACCTAAAGCCAAATTGAATGACTCCAGTTTCAGCATTAAGTTAACAGATCACTCACACTGTCAATAATTCCAAAAATCATATAGGCTGCTCCTCTTGCATTGGCAAAAGCATCAATACATGGAGCAGCCTGGCCAATGCTGAATGCTCCAATGAGGATGGAAAAGAAGACCTGCACAAAATAACAGGAGGAAAAGTTATGTCCCTTCCAGCATTCATTATTATTTACATCATGATTTGTATGAAACAACAAAAAGGTTATACCAACTGAAAGGTTAAAGGTTGCATTTAACTTTATCTTTTAAGAAAGCTTTAGTAATTTTGGTGGGGAGGGAGGGTACTGGGGAATCGAACCTTGCAAGGCAGGCAGCAGCACCTCAGCTAAATCCTGGCCCCTTTTATTCTTTATTGAGACATAGTATTTGTACTATGATAATTTGATATATATATATATATATATAAGGTATAATAATAGAATCAGGATAAGTCACCTCCAATGTGTCAGTTAAAATTAAAATGAAAAATAAAAGTAAAAGTTTTTTTACTAAAGAGCAAAATTTATAACATTAATTCAACATTTTATTTCCCAACTGGGTTTCTCCAACCTCAAAAATCATTCTTCTTGTCTAATTTACCAAGCTGTCTGTTGCTCTTCTCCTGAATGTACAGTAAAAAATTTTTCAAACCTATCTTCTTGGCTCTGCCACCAGAGAGAAACAGTTTCCCCATCAGTGTTATTATTCAGGACTGTATGGCTCTCTATAACTATGTGTGGCATTCACAGAGTGTTGACTATCAAACGTGGTAGATTTTTGGCCTAGGGACTTTTCCTTATAAAGCACCATTATAAATTGGATAGATGGACAGATAGGTAGGTAAAGATTTTCAACATAAAAAATAAGAGTTCCCCATTTATAAAACACTAACTCACTCCCACGTGCACTGGCGCACGGTCTATCTGTCCCATAGCATACAAAGGAACAGTTCCCTTCATGTACTTCTCACTAGGGAGACAGAAAAGCTCAGAATGTAGTTTTAGGAATCCAGATTAACAGCATTTTAAACTGAGAAAACATAAATGAGGGATCGGTACGCTGTTCTCTTGGGGCACAGTGAAACTTCTACATGTAGTGTGGCTTTTCTCCAAGCACAGTGACATCATGTACCGGAACCGCGTATCAGTCAGATATCTGTCCACCATCTGCAGTACAGATAAGGACAAAGAGAAACTGTCTCCGCCAAAATAGATGGTCTGAGGTTGAGGCAGTAAAAGCCCTGGACTTTGTGCAGGACTTTGCTTCATCATGGGTATTACTCTCAGTCCTATACGGTACATGTCATCGTCCACATGCCATGGACACAATGAAGCGAACAAACGCATCGTGAAGGCTGAGAGGAAATGTCAGCCTTAACTACCTTTCATAAACTTCAACAGTAAGTGAGGAAGTGAAGAACAGTGCAGAGCTTCCAAAGGGATGCCGCAGAGGAAGTGGGAAACAGTAGACTCCCCGGTGATGAAAACTCTGCCAGCCGAACGGCCCACAGTGCCCAAGTGAAGACTCAAGATACCACCGGGAGTAGCGATTTGAAAATGTTGACTTTCCTAATGACCCTCAGGCATCATCATCACTCAGGCCTTGTTTGGGAAGATGGGGACGTGCAGGTTTTAACAGATGTCTGTGTAAACGGTTGTGCACTGGTCTGAACATCAGTCACATAGAAAGATAGTCATAAAACTTGGCTATTTTATTTTATTTTTAAAGTACACATGCTATAGTCCCAGTTTGGAAAGAAAAAATGTTTGCATAGATAGAAAATGGTCTAGATAATACACCCATCATCACAAATATATTATGGATTATTACACTGTAATTTAATCTTAGAAGTTGTACATTCTTATTCTTAGTATAATTAGTGTATATTATTTTAGTCATGAAATAAAGCTACTGATATCTTCATTTTCATACAGAAAGATGAACTTTTCTTCTTATGTTTCAGATAGCTGGTGCTTTTTATAATAATATTCTCTTGTATCTGACCTGTCTATAATAATATTTGCTTTCACATACAGTGAAACTCAGCCACAGAATGAGGATGACACCAGTACATATTTCTTCATTCCTTTTTTGTTTCCTTTTAATGTCACGTGTGTCTCTTATTTGAGACTTATTAGACTGTTCGGTCTAACTTCATGTTGCTGTCTCATCCCTAGATGCATGTTCCCAAAAGCCAGCTTTGCCCACAAGAAAGCAAAGATTCATCAAAAACAAAAACCAAAACCAAACAACAACCTGTCACTGTGGCTCCTCCTTCCAAAAGGAGAAGTGGGAAAGAACAGAGAAGGTAGACAGAGAAACAACATTTTCAGATTCTTCATAAATACCAGGAAAACCACTTACTGTCATTGCATTTCCAATAGTATATTCTTTTGATAGAACCAGTGTGGATCCATACCAGAAGGCCAGCGCATACGATGCATATATTAACAGGAAGGCAATGCCCATGGAAATGCTTGCAGAAATTGCCTTCTTAATTCCAATCTTTTTGGCATTCTCTAAATGTTTCTGATACCTACCAGAAAATCAGAGAGAAAATGTCGTAATAAAAGCAACAGCTTAGGATCAGAGCCATACTCATCTCCTGTATAGTGGGAGCCATTAGAGTAGTCAGCCAATAGAGAGACTCCATTCGGGATCAAGGAGCACTGAGCCAGAGCCACACCTCTCTCCTGGCTGGGACCCCTCTCCCCTGGTCCCTACCAAGCCAACCAATGTTTGGGTGGCTGTTTCAGAATTGAACTCTCACCCCTGGTTTCCCATCACCTTGTGGTCAGCATAATCAGTAAACTTAATGAATAATAATAACAATAAAAGAAACAACTGCAGAAAAAGAAAAAGAAAAAAAGAAGCATGAAGTTGGGAGAAGAGAAACTAAGCCAACCAATGATGGCACCAAGAAATAAATACAATTCTGAACTCTTACGTGGTCAGATTCTTATCTCGGTCAATTTCCCTTCTCTAGAGAAAAGAAACCCTCCTCTCATTCTCTATTGGGTGAAGAACAGAAATCTTGTACATTTTGGTACATAGCCCGAGCTTCTCACTGTTTTTCTTTTTTAAAATCCAGCTGTCTTCAAGTGCAAAGCTAGGTATAAGGTTATAAAGTCATCGCTGTGTCGGATATGTGTTCTTTCTCAATCTTTCTGATTTAGTTTCACCAAAGAATAGAGTTAATAATGCCAAGTTAGTGTGATAGTTGTGACACTGACATATAATTATAAAAAGTAGTTAGACTAGTAGCCAGTACATTGCTGGCAATTCTCATTACTATAATAACGTTAGAATTTTCCTGGCATGGTAGCACACACCTGTAATCCCAGCACTTGGGAGGCTCAGGCAGGAGAATCGCTGTGAGTTTGACAGCAGCCTGTGCTACACAGTGAGTTCCAGGTTAATCTCAACTACATAGTGAGACTGTCTCAAAAAACTAAAAAAAAAAAAAAAATTTTTAATTTCTCTCTGAATTTTGCCCATTCTATTGCTATATTACTTTTGAATAGTAATTCTAATTCATATTACCAGCTTCTACAATTTGATAAAATGGTACAAATATATAGAATGGTTCTATGAAATTATAATTTTTTTTACATGAAGTTCAATTAAATCTACTCTTCCATGTGGATCCAGAGTGTGTAACATTTAATTTTGGCTTCCAGTGCACCTACACTGAAACTTGGGGTCAGGGGATCACGCACAACGTGGCATTTCCTTTCTAACAAAACACCCAGTAACATTACTTTCAAAAAAATTCAACCAAGTGAGATGTGGGATTTCATTGATTTTTAAAACATATATGCTGCCCCTGAGCATGTCTCTTTAGAGACATACGACACCCATCCTCACAGCGTTTCCCTGCTCTGAGTGCGCTTTCCTAGGGCAGAGCTGCACCTCCGGCCAGCACAGGCCACTCCGGCACCAGGACTGCCTGGGCGCCAGGCCTGGGGAGCTTGCAGTGGGTCTCCCCGAGACCCAGAGCTCAGGAGGTGCACACGGCTGTTGTTACCTTTGCTTAGTTGGCTTGTTCACTGCAGCTAATGACACGGACATCCTGAGTTCTGCCTGGCGGTGTGTGGTCTGTGTGCGCTAGTGTGTACAGCAAGCAGCAGCCAGAGGAAGGAAGAGCTTAGAGGACCAGAGACTGTCCTGAGGAGGGATTAAGGGACAGAAAAGAAGAACATACAATGAAAGGGATTAGGGACCCCTTTGCTCTGAACAGTGGAGAATTTTCAGAAAATTTTTCTTTCAAAGACCGAGTACTGAGGTCTCATGGAGCAATAAACCAAGATAACCTTGTGTGTGGCATCGTACTTCACTAAAGGTATATTATTTAAAGAGAACATTAAATAATTATTTACACTTAAATCAAGCAGAAGACCTTTCCATGGATGTATGCTTATCTCCAAACACATCACAATGTACCCACTGTGTACAGTTCTTTGTATATCAATCATAGTACAATAAAAGAACTTTCAAGCAATTATTCAGGTTCTTGAGTGCAGGGCCAGACAGCTCATAGGATCTCAAGGCACCGTTTGCCAGGCTGAACCTGGACCACTGAGAGAGCTGGGGGCTTTGCCTCTTCCCAAGGGGACACCCTGCACTGTGACTTGGAGGCCTTGCCCCCAGACTCCCTCTCTTATATTCCAGGTCACAGTCAAAAGGGACTTAAAAAATTTGATAATCAAACCACAAAATAACCTTTTAGTGCTACATATTTTATTTTAAATAACATTATTTTAAGTGCATTTAAAAATACATCATTCAGCCTCTGGATGTATCAGACCGCCATTGCAGAACACACATGCTTGAGAACCTCATGCTAGTGCCTGATCTTAATTAAACAGAGCCCTCAGTAAGGGGCTTTATATTTTGTGGGGGGATATTAGAAAGAGAAACTCTTAAACACATAGCACAATGAACAATGAGAAAGGAAAGGGACTTCTTGGAACTGGTTCTGACCTTTTCAGCATTTTGTTCTGGCCTCCGAAAGCTATCACAGTCCTGATGGCCCCCAGGGCCTCTTCTGCCACAGCGCCTGCCTTGGCATACGCGGCCAGTTCCTTGTCACTAAACGATGAGAGAATCTGGACAGAGACAAGCAGTCAGGACTTGGGGATGAGCAGTGCCAAAGACAGCCTGGGAAACTCTTAAACCTAATGCTCGTTGGTGTTGAAGTCCTGTAGCAAATGGCTCACAGAGGCCCAGAGGCGGGGGCACCTCTGCCCCTGGTGACAGGCACTCCAAGAGCAGTCAGGAAAAGGACATCCAGAGTTCTCTAAGTGGTGTTTTGGGGAACAGTGTCAAATTCCACACCTGCTATTATTTTTTCAGTTCATTGTAAGGTAAAATAAAATAAAACCTTACATTTTTGAAATTATTCACCATGCTTCCCCTTATGCTGTGACAATCTTTACACATTATGAAAATAATACTTTCAGATTTACCAATGGGAAGTCCAGTGAATAAGAAGATGGCTACAAAAATGTTTCACAAGGCAGGTAAAGGAAGAATTAATATAAAAGAGATACACTGAGTAAATCATCAACCCCAGAAAGCACAAAATTGCCAGTAGAATTTCTCCACGCTTAAGTGTTGGCAGCAGGAGAGCAGATGTGAGCACTTCAGTCTAAGGCCTCACGCCTCTCACAGGCAAAGACCCACAGAGCAGAGCCCAACCCCAAAATTTACTTCATGCAATAATTTGGAAGAATGTTATATCCTAAAATTATTTCCTCAAGTGAAGACATAGCCATACATGCCACTTAAACCACTATGTTAGACTCACTCAAATAAATAGTGGTACAAAGGCCTAAAACTGAGATTAGAGCTGTGACATTATGAATCACACTGAAAATCAATTCCCTTATTAAAGCTCTATATTAACAACATCCATCTGCATATGATTTCCAGACATTTAACATGGATTTGTACAAGTACCAGAATTCTGGATATTAAACATAATTCTACATGCACATGAGGTAAAGACTCATAAAGGTGCCCAGGTTCCACAGACCTTTGCCCAGACCGCTGTAGACAGTCCCAGCACAGGGCTGATGGCCATGACCACGAGGGTGAGTTTCCAGCCTCTGATGAAACCCACTATGAATCCTGCAAAAAACGTGGCTACTGCTTGAAAGAACATTCCAACTTTGTCACCAATTCCTTCACTGATTTTGGAGATGTCACTAAAAAAGATCACACCTAAGTGGTTACAGGCAGAGGTCTTTGGTAAGAAACATGAAGCAGACATTTCACAAACGCATAAACATGTTCACAATACTGCAAGCTTCTTTCAGAGTTAGCCTCCTGAATGATAGTTTCCCCACCTAAATACTGCATAAAGGATAAAATTCAGGATTAGCTCATGCTTCTAAGAAGTTACTATTAAGGTTGATGCTGTTAAATTAGCTAATCCTATTAGAGAAGCATTGACTTCTTGAATTCATGAATCAATTTGTTTAAAAGCAGGAATTAGGAGAGGTAGTGCAACAATCATAGAGAGCAATCATCTGGATGTAGTATTTCCTACTACAATTTGAGCATCCCCTATGCAAACACTTGAAATCTGAAATGCTCCAAAATCTGAAAGCTTTTGAGCATTAAGTGTCAGATTTGGAGTAGTTCAGATTTCAAATATTTAGATTAAGGATGTTCCACTGGTAACGTCTATGCAAATATTCTAAAATCTTAAAGCTCCCAAGCCTGAACCCCCTCTTCTCCCACACTTGTCAGCGAAGGTGTGTCGCCTCTTGGGGAAGACATGGAAGTGTTCCTTGCTTCTGCTCCTGCTGAAGAGGCAGGTCTGATCACGATTCCCCAGATCAAACCTTCCTGCTGGTCATTCTCTGAGCAAAGTACTAAGTCCTCACCAGTGCCTACAAGGTCTCCCTGGGTCTCCCCTCCTGCTCACCTTCTCTGTTCCCCGTGCTCTTCAGCCAGGAAAGTTTGTTTTCTCTCCCACCCTGCTGTTGTCAGCACCGAGAGCAGAGTTGCCTGCTGTGTTCACTGACACATCCAAGTCCCTGGAATGGTGCTCAGGTGTAGGAGCCAGCACCCATTAAGGCCAGACCCTTGGCGAAATAATTTGATCACTTATCCACCCATTCAGCTGTCTTTACTTAATGCCTTAGTAGCTGTCAGGGCCTGCGGGGCACACAGGGAGAACAAGCATGTCCAAGGAGTGCGTGGAGTCCCTACAACCTATGCTGTGGCAGGGAGGACAAAAACCAGCAGACATGGAAAACAAACACACAGAAGCACAGGCTACGGGGCTTCTAGAAATGACTTTCAGGTGCTCTATTTCCAATTTATGCCAAGCACTCAATCTAGTAATTTTTATTTTGCTTAAAACAACCCCCTGACAAATTTTCACAAGTTTGTTCTTCCTTTCTTCACAAAAGTGTGACATTAACAATGCACACTTACTCTGTTAGCCGTGTGTTGAGTTCAGTGATGTCGTTGATGTCAAACCAGCCTATCTCCTGTCGTAGAATAGCATGAAAAAACTTTTGCCTAATTTTCTTAATCTGTCGGCCAGCGGCCAAAGTCCAAAATGAAACCTGTATATAGGCAGCAACCAGAACTCCGGCACCTAATCCTGAGTAATAATAGGCATATCTGGAAAACAATTAGAAAGTCTTTTTCAGATACTCTGCTTTATCCATCTCTTTTAGGAGAAATTTTCAGCATTGAAAATTAATCAGTTTACTAAACTGACTGCAAACTGTGCAGGACATTATGACAAATACACATGAAAAGGGTTTTTTTCTTCTTAAACAGCAAGATGATGAACTTCGTGATGGAAAATCTATGTAACTGAACTATCATCCAATGAAAACAGATAGATTGTTGTGGTTAACAGAAAAAAGGGTGATAATTAATGGTATATTTTTAACTGATGACAATATTAAAGTACCATGTAACTTCTCTTCCATAATTGTATCTTAGGCTCTCACCTGTCTTGTACTGAGAAAGTTCACTACTACTTACATACTGCAAATACAGGAATAAACAGAACAAATACAATGGTTCTTAATGTAAGACTTTCCATATCACACACTGAACAAAAAGCCTCTTTCTATCTGAAAGAATCTGAACATATTTTTAAAATAATATGATAAAAGTCATCAACTCAAACTAATTTGGGTTGAAAGCTTAATCAAACAATTAGAAAATTAGTGCCTAAGAGTAACAAATTGTTTCAATACTTCTAAATATAGTCTAATTTTACAAACTGTTTACAGTTCTACTCCTTGCAAGCCTGCGTTAGCAGAGAGACAGCACGCATTTCAACCAGCAAGAGTCAGTGAGATGCAGCCACGCAGACCTTGGGTCACAGACTTCTGAGGCTCCCATTAGGAGGGCGGAGGGAAGAAAAGTGCCCTGACACTGTTGGGTTAAGAGGAAAAACTAGAATATCAATGGTAGGTTGTACAAAAGTATTATGTCAATATTAAATTTACTACAGTTAATAACTTCACTGTGGTTATGTAAGAAAACACCATTGTGCTGAGAACTCTGTGAAGCAGGGGCCGGGGCACAATGAATACAACAGTCACTCGGGAAAGAGTACAGATGCTTTCTGCACATTCTTTCAACTCTGCGGTTTAAAACTATTTTCAAATGAAACATTCAAAATAGCACACCATACAAAAATATATGTAAATTACCTAGTCATTTCTTCTTCCAAAATTCTGCCTGGATTTAGCTGTGACAATGAAAAATTCACTAAATAAAAACAAAAGAACAAAAACATTTTTGAAAGATTGAACTATTAGTAGTCATTGCCCGAATTTTAAATCTTCTATGAATTTAGATACATGAACTATGTATAGCCGACCTTACAGGTAAGTTTCTTGAAGGAAAGTTCTCTTTCCTTTCTTCTCACGCATGCAAGTGTACTTTCCACCTTGCCGAGGTGCAGAGGGTCACAGGCCCATGAGGGGCACATGAGCGCCCCAGGTTCTCTCAGAACCCAGGGTCTGGCCCTTTCTCAGCACCCAGAGGCTGATGAAGGCAGCTTTGGGAGCCATGGAGCATGTAGGGCAGTGGAGACAACCAGAAATGGCGGGAACAGAAACATGAGATTTAAAGAGCCTTTTTCTTCTTTGTGGCTTAAACTACTTTGCAAAACATTTGTTTCTGTAAATTTCATGTTTATATCTATATTTTTCTCTTCCTGCTTTGTTATGATATCAGCAAAGAAAAGGCCAAATTATCTCCATTGCCAGAGAAGAATGAAGCCAGGAAGACAATTGAGTCCCTCAAAGATAAATCAGAAAAGGTGCAAATTTCCAGTGATGAATGTCACTACATTGTATACCTTAAATGTACCAATAAAATTAATTAAATTTTAAAAAAGGTAAATCGGTAGGTCCCTGGTCACTGAGTCAAGGCCTGCATGACATGACTTACTTACTAGCAGCGCTGTATTCTGGTATTTTCAAAGGAGCATTAGCGGGAATGAAATATACTGTCTTTTACTTTGAGCTAACTAGAGAAAAAGTCAATGTGCATTTCATAGTTTTCTTGTATTAATAAGTGCTATTATTCTACGTTAGGTGCTGCTCTAAGCACTTTACATACATAAGTTCACTTGCTTTTGAAAACATCCCATGAGGTAAGATTGTTCTGTAAGTCCCCATTTTATAGAAGAGTAAAGCAAGGCAGTGAGAAAGTAACTTATCCAAAGCCACGGAGCTAGCAAGCACAGGGCTAAAAATCAGTCCTAGCAGTGTGGTTTACACCCCAACACTACACAACACTGATTGATTTGTGATAATGATTTGCTTTTACTTTTTAAAAATGTAAAGTAAAAAACAAAAACAAACAGGCCTCATCTACTACATTCCTGAAATAATAGGATGAAAATTACCACACTGGGAAGGTCATTTCCTATTTCTCTGGTCCTAGCAGAGAAACTGGTCTTTGTTCATCCTGTGTAAATAGCTCAGGGGCATGTTTTCCCAGGGCTGTGTATTCTTCTTATCTTTCTTCCAAAATGGAGATAAGGTTTAAATTTATTTAAAACTTACCTCAGGATTCATTACCAGGCAGGCGTCACAATTGAGGTACAAGTTTTTCCTACTGATGTGAAATATTTCTGCCTGCCTCGTAAACCCCTATCAGACCCTTGGAATCTCCTTCAGGCCTGCTCCCTTGTCTTCTCAGCAGCTGGGTCAGTTCTGGGCACTGCCTCCTTCCTGAGTTCTCACACAAGGGACCTGGGACAAATGCTTGGAACTGGAGGCTGCTGAGCCATGCTAAATGTGCAGTATTTGTAGAACTTGGTGTGAGGTTTCCTCATGACTTAGAAATCAGGTGAAATATTAAATAAACCTTTTTTTCTTTCAACACTTATCTTGAACTTTTTAATTTTCTCCATTAAAAAAAAAATCCTATGTGAAGCTGACTCTCTGTTAGGAAATAAGACTCTGTGGACATTCCAAATTTGACTTCCTCCCGCCTTAGTCCAAGGCAAAGAATGACAATCTAATTCTAACCCAGCTGCCCACGGACTGGAAGCCTGGGAGCCTGGAGTTCTGGCTGCCTGAACACAGGAATGTTGGGGGAGAGGGTGGGAGCATTCCCAGAAGAGTCAGGGCTCCAGATCTGGAAAGAGCCAGGACCTACTACCTCAGATGCTTCAGCCTCGTAAATACTCCCCCAAGAGTCATCTGGTTTGGTCTTCTCAACATCATTTAGAACCTTGAAAAGAATACAGACACCCAAACTCCACCCACGCCCAATTAACCCAGAACCTGTGGCTGAGTCTGGAGCATTGTGTTTTTTAAAGGCATCCGTGATGATACTAATGGGACAGGATGGAGAACTCCCACATCTATCGCTGTAACAAAGGAGTGGGGAACTCCTGAAGCTGCTGGTTCATTTCAGAGAGTTCCCGCACAATCCATCCATGTGGCAGGTAGAGAACCAGAAGCTTAGTGTGCGTGTCATAGTTCCAGTTTTCTCCTGATATTTATTGATCACTTAATATGTTCCAGACATTTTACATAGACTGCCTTATTTAATTCTGTTCCTAAATCTGTCATCATCTTTCAAAAATGGAAACAGTAAGGTTAGAGAGGTTGAGTGACTGGTCAAGGGTCACACAGCTGTGAGTGCAGGGTCTGAATAAGGAGTCCATACACTCAGGGTTAGGATCAGGGAACAATGTCCTCATTGTCATACCTGTGTCTCAAAGTGAATCAACACCTGCCTTTCTGGATTCTTCCTAGCACTTAGTGTATCAGACAGGATTATTCAGCACAAAACAAAGAGCAGCTGTAGTTCAGATAGACTGGACACTGAAATTCAAGTAACCTGGGGCTCAAACACACCTTTCCCCTCAACCACAGGGCAATGCAGGATGTGCAGGGTGCAGCAATTTCCCTGCAGAATTTTTACATTATTATAATCACTCAGATGTGGCATAAAAGATACCAAGCTCGATGCTCTTCAGAAGAGCTGTCCCTAAAGTTTTGCAATGAATGTTCTGTGCATAGTTTCTGAGGCAAAAGCCTGGTCATGGAGTGGCTGTTGACAAGGATGGGCTGTGTTCACAATGCATCATTGTCGGCTCTCTTGTAATCCAAGCCTTTTTCTCTTCTAGTATTCCCTTATCTTTTGGCTTCCAGTAAATCTAGTTCTGTAAAAAAATCTAATTGTAAAATACAGACTCTACATAAACATCATCTCTGTCTGATGAGCTGGAGGTTTGTTATCACTGAAAGCCCCAAATCACTGAGGGCCAAAGGTAACTGCCCTACCTTCTCCCAACATCTATGATTTTCATCAACTCTACAACTCTGAACATATCAAGGAGAACTCTGAGTTTGGAGTGAGACTCCTTTAAAGATTTCATTTTCTCCAGAGGAGAGTGGATGTTAGACATTCATACCATCTGAGGGGCTTACCATTGCAAAGCCTCCAAGATACCCAACAGGCATAATGACAATGTGGTTACAGAGGACTAAAGGTCTAAAACTGGAGTGTTTATAATTTGGAGGCCACTGAAACCAAGTTGGCAACTCTCACAACTTAATCCTCTCAACAATCACTCACTCATGCAGCTCCCCAAGAGACCTTGAATTTGGCCTTGGACACAGCACACAGCATCTGGCTGCCATAACCAGCTTCAAAGCCCTTCGATTGCATAACTGGTAATCAGTAGAAAACAAGCAAACTGTCCCAAATTGCAAGTTGTAGAATGATTCTAATGTTAGTAAAAGCAAAACAAGATTAATAAAATTGGTCCAAAAATGAACTCATCTGTGATAAGTGAATTGTGCTGTTTCAATCCTTTACAAATTTTAAAACTTGTGATAAAAATGCATAACTATACTCAAGTGACCAGTCCAGTAGTGCAAAGTATATTTATACTATTCTACAAGCAATTTTGTAAAATTTTTCATTTTGCAAAATTAAAACTCTATGCCAATTAAACAAGAGTTCCCATTTCCTCCTCTGTCAACCCCTGGTAATCACTATTCTACTATCTGTTTTTATGAATTTGACTACTCTAAATACCTCATGAAAATGGAACTATGCATTATTTGCATCTTTGATACCTGGCTTATTTTACTTAGCATAATATCTTCAAGTTTCATTCATGTTGTAGCATGTATCAGAATTTCTTGTCTTTTAAGGCCGAATAATCTTCCACTGTATATGTGACCACATTTGTTTAACCATTAATGTGACTTTTTAAATGAACTGAGTAGAGATCAATTTTTGATTGAATGTGTTCCGTTATGGACATTATCTTGATATCTATATCTATCTAGCTATAGGGTGTGTATATTATATATAATCAATATGTAATAGATCTAGACCTTCTACAGAGTAAAAGAAAACACCTAGAAAATTCCTGCTTCCCCCACTTAATTTTAAAGGATCCTGTCCTACTTGAACTTCATATTCTCAGTATTTGTGTGAAGGGCTTGGTCACTGGTTAAGCATAAGTAGTCCATTTAAAGCTCTCCAAAACATTTTTTCTGTCCTAGTGAAAACAGTTATTTATTCTGGGGGAAATATACCTGGTCGCCATGGGTAGGATGACAGAAAGTCCTGGTTTGGAGCCTATTCTAACACTCACCAGCAGTGTTACTATGACAAGCTGATTATTCTCTCCAAGCCTTCATTTCTTCACATATTGTAAATGATGTCACCTGTTGCAGACAGTTGTTCTTACAAGGGTGAGGAGAAACTGTGGATATACTGTGTTTACCATAGGACCTAGCACATAGTACATTCAATGAACGGATACTAGTATCATTTTTTAAAATAAATAATTCTGTTCAGTGACCATAGTACTTGAGAACAAGCTTGTTTTTATAGGCACTTACTGTAAATGTTTCTGTATTTATATAAATATATCCTATTTTATTAATGAGGCAATTTTATTCCCTTAGAAAAGTACATTTATGCCCTACAACAGCACCTAAGTATGTAGTACTTAATCAATGGACACTGAAAAATTCCTGCCAAATATGGAATATAGTATGGTGGTACACATGTGTAATCCCATGATCCTCCTAGAGGCTAAGGCAGGAGGATTATGGGTTTAAGGTCAGTTTGGATTAGAGTGAGACCCTGTCTCAAAAAACAAACAAATAAACAAGAGAGCTAGAACAAAAAAAGATGGAGTGCATTTTCCCCAGTTATTTGCTATGAAAATGTCTCTTAATGATATATTTTTACTCTAGTTCTATGTCTGTGTTTACTGAAGCCTCATTCAGTCTCTCTAGCCCAGGAACCTCAAGGTCTCATAGAGAAACAGGCCATCTGGCTTGGTAGAAACCCAAACTGTCCTTGCTGCATGGAATCTGGACAAAAGGAAAGTAAGGATGTCTCCCGGACCCCTACTCCAGCGACGTCACCGGGGCCCCTCTTGTAGGTGTGTTTGACACAGGAGATTCCTCTGGCACGTCAGTGTTCTCACCTGTCAGGTGAGTTCCACAGCACGACATCCTCACACTGAAGCCATTCACTCTGCGAGTGCCTATCGTATCCCGTTCTCGTCAATCTCTTTGATCAAAAAATCAGACACAGAAACGGGTATAATTGGGGGGACAGGAGAGCAAAACCCCCAGAAACAGATCTACAAGCTGCTCACGGTGGAGAAAGGCCACTGTCTCACTGTCACATCTCGAAACCCATCAGGAATCAGGAATGGGAGAGTACAGACATACTTTGCTATGTTCCCACTGTCCGGTGGAGTGGCTTCCCTACTTGACTGACATGCAGAGCTTTCTGTGGATTTCCTTATCATGTACTAAAAATCAAATGGTACATATGTTGACAGTTAAATGAGTGTTTGAGCCGTTTTCTAGGAATTTCACAATTCCTTTCTGCTATCTTGGGGCTTCCAGGATCTAAATCACTAAACAGGTAGATGATAAATATTCAAAATCAAGTTCTAATGTTTTATTCAGAGAAATTTTATGGTTTGTAAAATAAAGTAGGGGAATAATTACCTGGAAAGGAGAAGTTTCCATCAGTGTTAATAAACTTATCCGCCATGTCCCCAAACACTATCATCATGAGGGGAAGGCCTGACCCGTGAGCGACAGCCATGACGGTGCCCAGGCACATGAGCGCTTGGTCCTGCCAGTCAGAGTACCGGAACTGGAGAGGAGAACAGCTCGGCTTGTTAGTGGAACTTCGATTCCGCCTGCAGTTAAATACTCTGGACTTTTCCTTAAAGTCAGCACTACTTTAACAGTGGCAAATGAATATATTAGAGGAGAGCAGCAATTCAAATCATTGGCAAATTAATTTCATGATTCTATTTATTTTTTTACTCTGTGAAGACATCAATCTAATTCTGTTTAATCAGTATCTGATGTGGGTGAATGACTAGAATATAATCAGAAGGTTTTGGTCCCAGTAAGAAATACTGTTTGATCTCCCAGAGCTCCTGAAGTAGTGAATTAAAAACAGCTGGGGCCAGGCAGGGATTTTTTTTTTTTCTCTTTTTTTTTTTTTTT